GGGCCGGCCTCATCGTGACCCTCTGCAGTGTTCTTTGGTGCTTGTGTCCCTCCTTGTTTTAATCCTGCCCAGAATGCTGCTGTGGTTTTATGGTCAGTACTCCCTTTTATTTAACAACAGATTCACCCGTGTCTGTTTGCTGGTGCTTCCTGCATCTTACCTCTGGCTTCATTTTCTGATTACTGATTTGTAGCTCCTAGTGTTTCTTCCATGAGTGGCTGTGAGGGGTAAACTCTACTCAGTGTTTGAAAAGGTCTGTTCAGCTTCCACTCTTTTTTTTTTTGAGACGGAGTCTCGCTCTGCTGCCCAGGCTGGAGTGCAGTGGTGTGGTCTCGCCTATCTGCAACCTCCGTCTCCCGGGTTTAAGCAATTCTCTGTCTCAGCCTCAGTAGCTGGGATTACAGGCTCCTGCCACTATGCCTGGCTAATTGTTGCATTTTTAGTAGAGACAGGGTTTCACCATCTTGGCCAGGCTGGTCTTCAACTCCTAACCTCATGATCCACCCTCTGAGGTCTCCCAAAGTGCTGGGATTATAGGCATGAGCCATGTGTGGAGACTACAGTGACTTCTGGAAACTTCATGGATCAGAAACAAAACCATGATCGGGCAGTCTCAAAACAACTCCAGCCGGCGCGGTGGCCCACACCTGTCATCCCAGCAGTTTGGGAGGCCAAGGCAGGTGGATCACTTGAGGTCAGGAGTTCGAGACCAGCCTGGCCAACATGGTGAAACCCCATTTCTACCAAAAATACAAAAATTAGCCGGGCATGGTGGCCCACACACGTAATCCCAGCTACGTGGGAGGCTGAGGCAGGAAAATCGCTTGATCCCAGAAGGTGGAGGTTGCAGTGAACGGAGATGATGCCACTGCATCCAGCCTGGGTGACAGAGCGAGACTCTGCCTCAGAAACAAAAACAAAAAACAAAAAAACTGAACTCCCAAAACGCAGCTCATGCAGCTCTAGGAGAAGGTGCCTTAAACATAGGCTAGGATACAAAAGAGACCGGAACTAATGAATAAGCAAGGGGAAACCCAAAAAGGTAGACGGTAGGAATTAAAAAAAAAAAAACAGCGGATGTTAACAAAGGGAAGTAAAGGGCCAAAGGCTGCCAAAGACAGCTGTGAGGAGACAGAAGGGAAAGTTCCCCGCGCAGGGCTGGCAGGGGCCATGAGGACCCATGGGAAACGGGAAAAGAGGAGGGCTCCAGGAAAGAGGAGCTGCCAGCCAGGAGGAGAGCCCTCACCAGAACCCGGCCTGCTGGCACCTGCTCTTGGACTTCAGCCTCCAGAGCTGAGAGTGAATCCTCAGCCTGTGGTGTTTTGCTATGGCAGCTGGAGCAGACCAAGACATGCCCGTATTGTTCATGAATTCTCTCTTCAGCTGTTGATTTGTTCCTTCTGTCTGCTGAGGACTTACTTGCTTTTTTGGGTTAAAACAAGCCTATTTTATGCCAGTCTGTTTTCATTAATTCCCTATCTTTTTAGTCACTTTAATCATCTGTCATGCATTTTAGGCATATTTATTTTATGATTGTATGCTAAAGAATTCAGCCTTGCCCACAGAGAGGTCTGGCATTGGTTCTTGACCGCTGGGAGGTAAAATCCAAAGCCTTGAAATGTCTTGCCTGATAGGAGTGTCTGTTCACCTGGGGACCTTGGTCACTGCATAGTTTAATCGGGTGATTTAGAGTGGGGGCTTTGGGTCAGCTTGACCACTAGAGGGTTTGAGGTGGAGGTTGGCCCATGGGCCATCAGCCATGTCTGTGTGAGCCCCAGGAAAGGCTGGCACCCAGGCCCAGTGAGCTTCCTGGTTGGCAGTGTCATCACGGGGGGCTGTGTAAGTTAGTGCTGGCTGTGACTCCACAGGGAGGGGACAGCTGGAAGCTGAGGTTGGAATCTTCCTGGACCGCCCCATGTGCCTCCTGACCTTGTATGAAACGATAATCTTGAGTCTAACTGCTTGCTGGAGCATCTGTCAGTCCTTTTGGGGAGCTGTGGAGTCTGAGGTGGTCTCCAACCCCTCCCCCTGTAGTTGGTGGCAGGAGTGAGGGTCCTCGTGGACTGTGCTAGGCTCCTGAAGGCTCTGTCGTGCGGGCGGCCCTGTGCTGCTACTGTGTCGGCCTCTCCTGCTGGTGGAGCCTTCTGCTGCTGTGCGTTGGGTCTGGCGCTCAATTCAGTGGGAATCGTTTCCTGTAGGTCTCTGTGCTCCAGTGTGTCATGGGACCTCCAGCGTGCTCTGGGGGAGCCTTCTGCTGCTGTGTGTCGGGCCCAGAGCTCAGTTCAGTAGGAAGTGTTTTCTGTAGGTCTCTGTGCTCCCATGTGTCACAGGCCTTCAGTGTGGCTCTTCATGGGTTCGCGTTTGACTCCTGCAGATGCCCAGCGTTTCCTGCCGCTTCTTGCTTGTGGTTCCCTGCCTTGCTGGCTGTGTACTCTGGGCCGTACACCCTGCGCTCCGTGGATGACTGTGGAAGGTGGGGACAGGAACGCACTCCCAGCATCCACACCCTGTGTGCTCTCCTGCCTACTCTCCCCACACTGAATTCAGGCTTGTCCATGTGACACCAGTGAAGGGGACACTGAGTTAAGAGAGGCCTGGAAAGTGCTCTTGTGGGGGACTCGTCCCCTCTGAATGCTGCCGTTGCCCTGTGAGGGAGCCTGCCCTGGCCCCTTCAGGAGGGGGGAGGAGAGGGGAGAAGGGCCCAGCCCCAGGCCAGCCCCCAGTAGACGCAGCCCCTGAGTGCACCAGGCAACACCAGCAGAAGACCCCCCAGGCCACCACCAGAAACCACTGCATTTTGTGGTGGCTGCTTCTGCAGCACTAGGTGACAGGTTCAGTGGGTTTCCCTTCCTCTTACCCAAGCCCTGGACTCATTTCAAGCTTTTCTATCCCCCTTAATGGCTATGGCGGGGTCTCAGCCCCACTTCTTTGTCTTTCTGGGGTCCCCTGGGCCTGTAGCAGGGACTGGAGCCCTGGTGAGCTCCTGGACCATAGCTTGCCTGTGTGCACGTATTTCTCTGGGTTTCTGGCAGGTGGGGAGCCCCTTTCTTTTGATCTCAACTAGGTATTTTAACAAGGTGACTTTTGGCAGGGCGTGGTGGCTCACGCCTATAATCTCAGCACTGTGGGAGGAGGAGGTGGGTGGATCATCTGAGGTCAGGAGTTCAAGACCAGCCTAGCTAACATGGTGGAACCCCATCTCTATTAAAAATACAAGAATTAGCTGGGTATGGTGGCACATGCCTGGAATCCAGCTCCTCAGGAGGCTGAGGCAGGAGAATTACTTGAACCCAGGAGGTGGACATTGCCATGGGCCAGGATTGTGCCATTTCGCTCCAGCTCGGGCAACAGAGCAAGACTGTTTCCAAAAAAAAGAAAAAAAAGGCGACTTTTACTCAGCATTTCTGTGGGCTGTAGGGAGAGGGGTCTGTACCATTTTAGCCCACCACCCACCATAAGCCCTCCTGGCCACGGGGTCTCTAATCCCGCCTCACCAGTTTGCAAGCTCATACACTTGTTACTACAGTCTTCCAAACGGTTTATAAGTGAAACAGCAATATCACGTTGTGTGTGTGTGTGTGTTTTGGGATAGTCTGGCTCTGTCACCCAGGCTAGAAGGCAGTGGCATGATCTTGGCTCACTGCAACCTCTGCCTCCCAGATTCAAGCGAATTTTGTGCCTCAGCCTCCTGAGTAGTAGCTGGAATTACAGGCGTGTGCCACTATGCCTGGCTAATTTTTTTGTAGAGGTGGGGTTTCACTATGTTGGCCAGGCTGGTCTCAAACTCCTGGCCTCAAGTCATCGCCCACCTCAGCCTCCCAAAGTGTTAGAATTACAGGCGTGAGCCCCGTGCCTGGCCTCATCTAGTATTTTGTTTGTTTTTTGAGATGGAGCCTCATTCCATTGCCCAGGCTGGAGTGCAGTGGTGCAATCTCTGCTCTCTGCAACCTCTGCCTCCAGGGTTCAAGTGATTCTCCTGTTTCAGCCTGTCAAGCAGCTCATGTGTGCACCACCACGCCCAGCTAATTTTTGTATTTTTAGTAGAGATGAGGTTTTGCCATGTTGGCCAGGCTGGTCTTGAACTCCTGACGTCAGGGGATCTGCCCGCCTCGGCTTCCCAAAGTGCTGGGATTACAGGCATGAGCCACTGTGTCTGGCCTCATATAGTTTTTTAAACAGACATACATATTTGCGTATAATGGTATAAGATTAGGACTTGAAGGAAAAATAGCAAACCCTTAATAGCGATTACCTCTGAGGAGAAGGAGGGACATGAGATTACACGTGGTATCAAAGTGACTTCAGCTTCCTTTATAGGGCTGTTTGTAGAATTTTCATGTCCTGTCATGTAATTTGTTTGGGATAAATCTATACGTAGATGAAACATGGAGGCAGTTAAGCCAGTTATTGATGGTGGGCGACTGTAAGTGGTGGGGAGGTGGCTGACCCCCGTTATTTTCCATGTCCTTTTCAGTATTCTGAACAGTGACACAAGTCAGGTGTTTTTTTTTTTAATTTTTGAGAAGGAGTCTTGGTTTGTTGCCCAGGCTGGAGTGAAGTGGCGTAATCTCGGCTCACCGCAACCTCTGCCTCCCAGGTTCTAGTGATTCTCCTGCCTCAGCCTCTCGAGTAGCTGGGATTACAGGCACCCACCACCATGGCCAGCTGGTTTGTGTATTTTTAGTAGAGACGGGGTTTCACTGTGTTGGCAAAGTTGGTCTTGAACTCCTGACTTCAAGATCCGTCTGCCTCGGCCTCCCAAAGTGCTGGGATTATAGGCATGAGCCACCATACCCAGCCACAGGTCAAGTTTTAAAAAGTAAGATGAGTGAGGCTGCCTGTATCAGGCTCTGCTAGATGGACCTGGCCAGCAGGCACGGTGGGTTTCTGTGATGGCACTCAGGGGAGCGGGTGAAGAGTTGTGACTGCAATGCACTGCTGTGTCCTGTTGCCTGTGGTGTGTGACCACAGAAAATGATGCCTCTAACCTTACTTTGCAGCATAGAAAAAAAACGCGCCATCATTCCTACACTGGTGGAAGCAATTAAGGACCAAGACGGAAGAGAAGTGGACTGGGAGTATTTTTATGGCCTGCTTTTTACCTCAGAGAACCTAAAATTAGTGCACATTGTCTGCCATAAGAAAACCACCCACAAGCTCAGCTGTGACCCAAACAGAATCTACAAATGCCAGACAAGGCTGAAGCGGAAGCGGCCCGTGCGAAAGCGCCAGTGACGTGCACACCGTGCTCTTGTGTTCGTTGAGGCCTGACGTGGGCATAATTTTAACAGGTGCCTTTTTTTTTTTTGTCACTCCAATAGCTCTTGGAAAAATCCTTAAAAAACATTTCCTGTATATCTGATTTTAGTACCTTTCTGAATATTTTTTTTTTTTTTGGAGATGGGAGTTTCACTTTTGTTGATCAGGCTGGAGTGTAGTGGTGTGAACGTGGCTCACTGCAACCTCTGCCTCTCAGGTTCAAGTGATTTTCCTGCCTCAACCTCCCAAGTAGCCAGGATTACAGGCATGCGCTACCATGCCTGGCTAATTTTTGTATTCTTAGTAGAAACTGGGTTTCACCATGTTGGTCAGGCTGGTCTCGAACTCCTGACCTCAGGTGGTCCACCCACCTCAGCTTCCCAAAGTGCTGGGATTACTGGCATGAACCACTGCGCCTGGCCTGAATCATTTTTTATACCTTCTGACAGCCCAACTTCTAGTGGACAGCTTTGGGGTCCTCACTGGATGTCTGTGAGTTCCTGGTTGTACCGGTCAGCAGGGATGAGAACGGTCTCTGCGCTGAGGAATTCTTCAGTTCTCCGGTTTTCCAGTATTTGGTCTGCCTCTGTCGTGTGGTCACCATACTAAAACTGTCCTGGCTGAAGGTGGCCACTCTTGCCTGGAGGGACTAGTTGATTACGCATCAGCTCTCTGCCGAGTCTCCATTTCGATGGCCAATGGGCAGCTCCGTCCTTCTTGACTCTTCCAAATGCCCAAAAGAGAGCATCTGAGGGTAAGATGTTTGGGGGTAAGCATTCGGGGGTAATGTTCTTCATAAAGAATATACAAGGATGTTCACCGCTGAATTTTTTTTTTTGGTCTTTTTGAGACGGGGTCTCACTGTCGCCCAGGCTGGAGTGCAGTGGCATGGTCTTGGCTCACTGCAACCTCTGCTTCCTGGGGTCAAGCGATTCTCCTGCCTCAGCTTCCTAAGTAGCTGGGATAACAGGTGCCCACCACCACAGCTGGCTAATTTTTGTATTTTTAGTAGAGGTAGGATTTTGCCATGTTGGCCAGGCTGGTCTTGAACTCCTGGACGTCTGTGAGTTCAGGTCATCTGCCCACTTTGGCCTCCCAAAGTGCTGGGATTATAGGTGTGAGCCATCACGTCCAGCATGCTGAATTGTGGCAAAAAGTAGGAAACTTCCCAATGTCTATGAATGGGGCATTCACTATTCTGTTGAACCACATGAAACTGCCATTTTTCTAGGCCCAAGATGGTCAGCTATCATTAATTTCATGACTTACCCTGCTACACTTCCATAGTGCAAACCTATGTCGCAGTTTCAAGCTTTGATGAGGAAAGTGTTTCTGTATAGAAACTGGAAGCTCTTCAGTGCACCAGCAGCTGAACTCTGCTCTGTTTATCAGTTACCATCATCTCAGATGACATGGAGCTCATGTCAGCAGTGCGGGCGGCGGGTGGTGGGCAGCCGGCGGCAGGCAGTGCGCGGTGGGCAACGGGCGGCACACAGTCTGGAAGGAAACACACCGACCTCAACAGCAGTAATCCTGGGGGCCACGGGGGTGGGCCCAGATGACAGAGGGCTCATTTTTTAAATCATGTATTTTATGATACTTGAATTTTTTGAAATGGGCATTTATTTTATAACATGTTAAAATGTACTTTTTAGAAAAAGTCATTTTGTAATATTTGAATTTTTACATCTGTTGTATAATCAGGAAAAGCAATAAAGATTTTTCAAAAATATACATCAAAAAAGTTTGGAGTCGCTGAGAATGCTGAGAATAAGGATAAAACTTGGGAGTCCATGATGTTTTACAGTGACTTCAGTTGCTAAGGCGGTGACTTCAGCTGTCACAGCTGTCACAGCTCACCGCAGCCTTGACCGCCCCAGACTCAGGTGACCTCCCACCTCAGCCCCGAATAGCTGGGACCACAGGTGCACCTCAGTATGCCTGGCTAATTTTTTTCCCAGAGCTAAAGCAATACCTTAGAATGAGCGAGTCCTATGTGGGGAATTTCTTGAAGGCCCATCTACCATATGTGGTGTTTATCCGTTCTGATCAGGGAAGGACAAACAGTGGGAGAGTTGGGGCCTGGGAGCCAACGGGCCTGGTTCCTCTTCTCAGGCTGAAGAACTATCTGGAGCCAGCAGATCCCCCACCTGTGCAGTAAGGAGCCTGGCCCCGACAGCTGTGAGGCCTCCTAGCTCCGTCACTGCAGCCTCAGGAAACGAGCTGCTCTGCTTTCCAGCCGCAGACATGGGCCTTCTGCAGAGACACATTCTTTCGCTGCCTGTTTGTTTCTTGAGACAGGGTCTCGCTCTGCCATCCAGGCTGGAGTGCAGTGGTGTGATCTCAGCTCACTGCAGCCTCGAACTCCTGGGTTGAAGTGATTCTCCTGCCTCAGCATCCAGAGTAACTGCGACTCCAGTGTGTGCCACATGCCTAGCTAACTTATTTGTATGTTTGCAAAGATGGTCTTGCTGTGTTGTCCAGGTTGGTCTTGAACTCCTGGGCTCAAGAGATGCACCCCGGCCTCCTGATGTGCTTGGATTACAGGCATGCGCCCCTGCACCTGGCCCAAGACACATTCTTGAGGGAAGTCCTTCCTTTTCAAGGCGTGCCTTGCCACCTTGCTCTGGACATGCAGTTCTGTCTATGAGCAGGGCCACAGCTAGGGTAAAATGCTATCAAACAGCATCACATGCTACAGAGAAATCTTTCATGAAAGGAAGCGTCAATCAGTGTGGCAAACTTTATTGTCTTATTTTAAGAAGCTTCACGGGCACAGTGTCTTGTGGCTGTAATCTTAGCACTTTTGGGAGTTGGAGACCAGCCTGGGCAAACTGGTGAAGCCCTGTCTCAACAAAAAAGACAAAAATTAGCCAGGCATGGTGATGTGCACCTGTAGTCCCAGCTACTCAGGAGGCTGAGGTGGGAGGATCACCTGAGTCTGGGGTGGTCAAGGCTGTGGTGAGCTGTGATAATGCCACTGCACTCCAGCCTGGCTGACAGTGAGACCCCGTCAAAACAAAAGCAAAACCTTGCCACAGCCCGCCAGCCCGCCAGCCCTCAGCAGTAACCACGATTCCACAGCCCGCCAGCCCTCAGCAGTAACCATGATTCCTCAGCAGCTGTCAATGTGGAGGCAAGACCCCCACCAGCAAAAAGACAACAACTGGCTAAGGGCTCAGGTGATCTTTAGCATTTTGTAGCAATAAGTGATTTTTAAATTAAGGAACATATATTTTTTAGACGTCATGCTATGCACACAATAGACGAGAATTGTGGAAGCATAAGCTTCGTATGCTCCGGGAACCACAACACACGTGTGACTTGCTTTAATGTGCTGCTTGCTTGATTGCCGTGGTCTGGAGCAGAACTACAAGGCCTCCGAGGCCTCCTGCTCCTCACCCTGGCCTGCCTTTGCAGCATGGCTGGGCTCTGTCCTCATTACCCCACCCCTTTGCTCACCACTTGTCTGCCATGGTGGCCTTTTCCTAAGCCCCTAACGTGCCTCATCGTCCCCCAGCTCTTGGAATGGTTCCTGAGAGCCCCTGCTCCGGCCTCTGCCACCCACTCCGTCTTGGCATGCCAGTGCTCACACACAGCCCCTAGCACAGGCCGACTGTGACTCTGCCTACAGTGCGCTTCCTCCTGGGCTGCAGGAAGGCTGTGTCTTGTGGTTGTGTTTGCTGTAGCTTTGCTGTCTGGATGGGATTACATGCGCCCACTACCACACCGGGCTAATTTTTGTATTTTTACTAGAGATGGGGTTTCACTATGTTGGCCAGGCTGGTTTGGAATCCTGACCTCAAGTGATGTGCCCACTTTGGCCTCCCAGTGTGCTAGGGTTACAGGTGTGAGCCACTGCGCCAGCTAGGACTGATGCTTAAAAGTCCATATGTAGATTAGGAGTGTTTCCACCTGGGGGTGCTTGTTAGTGCAAGTTAATGACTGAGTGAGCAGGGGTGGCCCCAGAACGCACACGCTTTCCACTCTGCCTGCTGCGTCTCCTCTGCGGGACAGTGCACCTCACTGAAGTCTACTTAGAGGATGGCAGAATTCTCACCACCATTGAGATGGGTCCTGTTATTCAGTTATTCATGCAGTAGTCGTACATTATTTACTTACTGTTTTGAGGAAGAGTCTTGCTCTTTTGCCCAGGCTGGAGTGCAATGGCGTGATCTTGGCTCACTGCAACCTCCACCTCCTGAGTTCAAGGGATTCTCCTGACTCAGCCTCCCAGGTACCTGGGATTACAGGCACCCACTACACGCCTGGCTAATTTTTGTATTTTTAGTAGAGATGGGGTTTTACCATGTTGGCCAGGCTGGTCTCCAATTCTGACCTCAAGTGATCTGACCACCTTGGCTTCCCAAAGCATTGGGATTACTGGCATGAGCCACTGTGCCTGGTAAAAGTTGTAAATTATTTTCCCTATCATAAAATGACTTTACAAGCCATTATTTTCAAATGATAGTATGTTGATCAATAAATCACGAAGTGATTCAAAGCAGGTGAGGGTCACAGCTCATGAGAAAAGGATCACATTGGAAGTGCAGAACAACACCTTCAGGGAGGGCAGTATTTGAACAATAAAGAGTGGAAACACTTCTTATGGGTGTCTTCAACTGTATTTTGCTTCCAATTTATGTCATGGAAAATCCTTCCTGTGCTTCACAGGACATTTTAACGGGGTTACATCTAGCTGCCTTTTTTTTTTTTTTTGATGGAGTCTTGCTCTGTCGCCAGGCCAGAGTGTGATGGCTTGATCTCGGCTCACTGCAGCTTCTGCCTCCTGGGTTAAAGCGATTCTCTTGCTTCAGCCTTCCCAGCAGCTGGATTACAGGCATGTGCCACCACGCCCAGCTAATTTTTGTATTTTCAGTAGAGACGGGGTTTCACCATGTTGCCCAGGATGGTCTCGATCTCTTGACCTCATGACCACCCTGCCTTGGCCTCCCAAAGTGCTGGGATTACAGGCGTGAGCCACCGCGCCCGGCCTCGAGCTGCTCTTATAATAAACCAGAAATGTGTAATAGCTCAAAACCAGCATGACTCTTGCTCACTCATGAAAAGGCCCACACGATCTTCCCACATGGCAGGCAGCTCCTTGTCCTTGGCCACCCAGGGACCCCAGCTCGCCCCTGGTTGGTCCACTTGGCTTCTATGTGCAGTTGGTAGCAGACCATGGACAAAGCACTCCCAACGGCTTCTCTCCACTGCCCCAGGCGAGAACACGCAGCGAGGTGCTCCTTGACACTGGTGGGGCTGGGGAACACAGTCCTTGTGAAGCAGCTACACACGGCCCTCTCTATGGCCTGGAGGAGAGCACAGCCCTTGCTGGATGGCTGACCTTCCCCACCGCACAGGAGAGGAAAGCCCAACATTTCTGTGGCAGACACGTGGGAGCAGAAGTCCACTTGAGAGGAGGGAAGGGGCCCTTTCCCAAGGGCCTCAGTGGTTAACGGGTCTAAAAGAATGGACCTGTGCCAGGCACAGTGGCTCACACCTGTAATCCCAGCATTTTTGGAGGCTAAGGTGGACAGATCACCTGAGGTCAGGAGTTTGAGACCAGCCTGGCCAACATGGTGAAACCCCGTATCTACTAAAAATACAAAAAATTAGCCGGGCATGGTGGTACATGCCTGTAATCCTAGCTACTTGGGAGGCTGAGGTCAGAGAATCACTTGAACCCGGGAGGCAGAAGTTGCAGTGGGCCAAGGCTGTGCCACTGCACTCCAGCCTGGGCGACAGAGGGAGACTCAGTCTCAAAAAAAAGAAAAAAAAAAGGACCCAGCCTTACAAGCATTTGGGAGCATGAGACTGAGGCAGGATTCGGTTCCTCTATGTGGCTCCCAGGCATTGAGAAAGGAATCCGGTTTCAGGAACATAAGACTGCTTTCAAAATATGTTTTATTTCTTTTTTAAATGTATTTTGCAAAATTTCCAAGGTAAACATGAGCTCCACATATAGAAAAAAAGAGTTCTTTAAGAACTAGCATTTAGTTCATCACAAGAATAATCAAATTATGACAACGGAAAATAAACTAAAGCCACCAAGCTGAAGTGAAGAGCTGTCTTTACAAAGATCCCTCTCAGCGAGCCTCTGCCCTGCAGCTGACTCAAGCCATCATGTATGTACGTCAGTAAGAAAGGACACTGGCTGGGTGCGGTGGCTCATGCCTGTAATCCCAGCACTTTGGGAGGCTGAGGCAGGTGTATTACCTGAGGTCAGGAATTCGAGACCAACTTGGCCAACATGGTGAAACCCTGTCTACTAATAATACAAAAACTAGCTGGGTATGGTGGTGCATGCCTGTAATCCTAGCTACTGGGGAGGCTGAGGCAAGAGAATTGCTTAAACCCGGGAGGCAGAAGCTGTAGTGAGCCGAGATGACGCCACTGCACTCCAGCCTGGCGACAGAGCAAGATGGAGAGAGAAACTTCATCTCCAAAACAAACAAACAAAAAAACAACAACAAAGAAAGGCCACTGGCACAGTACGGCAGCTTTGCAATTTCAAAGACTATTTTAGTGTTAGCTCCCATGAGTACATCTTCCACAGGCATTTGGTGCTTTGCACTATAGACTGTGATGGGTCAGTTCTGAAGTATGACCAAGAAGACATTCTCTTGGAGACACACTTTATATAAATCTAGTAATGTGCTAAACTGTCAAAGGTTAATGGTACTAAGCACACAGACATCATCTGGTAAAGGCTCTACATTTCCGCATCAT